AGACGTACGACGTACGTAGTACGACGAGAGTACGAGTAGTAGAGTAGTAGTAGTAGAGTAGAGTAGTAGACGACGACGACGACGACGACGAGAGAGAGAGAGAGAGAGAGAGAGAGAGAGAGAGAGAGAGAGAGAGAGAGAGAGAGGAACACCTAGTTCTACACAAATGTATCTATAAATGATAAGGAATGCCTTCTACATTTTAGTGAGTAAAAGGGGTGCAAAACGAGAAACTGACAAATCATTTATACGTCCAAGTTCAATGAATTCCGAGAGCAAGATGGGCGGTACTTCAGAATGAGTACAAACACAGGTAGACAGAAAATTACGAAGGCATCCAAGGTTACAGGACGTAGCATCCAAGTCCACCAAAATGAAGCGAACAGGCATGGAGTAGAAGGGAATACTATGGATGAAATGCCTAGTTCCTTCGGCAATTCTTTCACAACAATCAGCGAGCTAGTATTGGAGGCTATGGGGACAATTACAGGACAATCAAAGAGAGAGAGAGAGAGAGAGAGAGACAAAGAGACTGCACAAGTGGGAGAAAACACTCAAGAAACGTCTAGGAAGACTTAAAGCTAAGGACCAAAGAATAAAGAGTCTTGTTGTCATTTGTTAACCATGTGAAAAGTCAAGAAAAGCTGGGCTTCTGAAAAGGTGCTAGGAGAGAGGAACCAACCCAAGAACCTTCTCATGAATAGCATTTGCCAGAACATTAGAGACCTTAATACTCCCAAAAAGAAGAATGCACCCACACATGGATAAAGGTAAATAAAGTGGGTGTAATTTTTATAAATGTTTAACTGATCAGAGAACCCTCTGATAAAAGTAATCTGGAGAAAACACGAGTCTTCATTCTCCACACTATGGTTGGTAATGGGGGTATTCGAGCGATATGCAATCTCAATAAGAATCAGGATCACAGGCCTTCATTCAACAGTGATCGACATTGGTGTTTTGAACTCGGGTTCGAGTCAGGACAGTCCAGGGACCCAAGCCCAAGTCAGCAGTTTAATCGGCCGAGCCTTTGAAAAAATAACAAAGTAGGGTATTTAATCCCATGAGACAGCTGAGTCTAAAGATTTCTGAACCAGACCCAGCAGCTTTCGAGGTCCAAGTGACTCAGCAAGCCCAAGCTCAAGCCCACCCCATGCCCAAACCACCGACATTTGAATCACTGATAGAGGTGAACCTTGCAAGGACTAATCTTAACAAAAAAAGGAAAAGAAAAAGCAGAAACTAACTTTTCATGGCATACAATTTCAATCATTATCAAAGTGAATCTCATAGGGACTAATTTTTCATGGCAGATTATATGATGCACAAGCGTAGGAAACCAAAACTTAGAGAAGGATTTTGATTAAAACTTAGAGAAACTAGGTCACCCTATTTTGGCCCTTGGTGCCTAGGAGGAGACTTCAATGCCAGCAGAGTCCCTCGTGAGCGATGGGAAGGTCGACCCATCGATCAACTATGAGCAAGTATTTCCAAGTCATTAAAATGGCCCTCACTGCAAGGAATTTAGATCACCTTTGATAAAGTATAACTTCTAGTCTGATCGGTAATCTCAAAAGGTGTGTTAGGTCGATATACATAGTACAACAACTTTTCCAAAATAAATAGTTTACAATGAGACAAAAATCAAACCAGTTTTTACATTTTTTCTTATGACTTTTCTTCTCTATTTTCATAATGCAAACTAGATTAAAATTCTCTATTGAGAAGTCCAAATGAAAGAAGGTATTCTAACAACTCCCCAAGTGAGAAAATATATTCTAAGTTCTAACAACTGCCCAAACGTCAAGGACTTTATGATTCTGTTCCATTGGAGTTTAAGCAGGTATAACCTAATTAATCAGC